CCACAGTTAGCCTGGCTGAAAAAAGACAAATGTCCATCCAGTTCAACCATAGAAAAAAAAAGTTGTAATCCTGTACACACAGTTGATCCAGAGGAAGGCAAACCCCCCCCCCCCCCCAGCAAAACATGATCCAATTTGCTCCTGCTGGGAAAAAAATTCCTTCCTGATCCCCCGAGAGGCAAGTGAATATTCCCTGGATCAACTTTACCTATAAATGTTAGTATCCTGTTATATTCTATGTATCTAAGAAACAATCCAGGCCTTTTTTGAAGCAATCCACTGAGCTTGCCAGAACCAGCTCTTGAGGGAATCTAAATAGATGATGCAATTTTCTCTCCTGCAACCTGTGGTTTGATTCCCCCATCAACACATTAGTGTTGATGGGGTAATTCCTCCAGGTGAGCTATTGTGTTCTCCCATAGGGGAGGTGCAGAGGTGGGACGAGGTCAAGCCGTCCCAGCTGGAAGAACACAGTGATTATTGCTAACGACATGAAAAATGTCAATAGCATGACATGAAAAATGTCAATAGCAATCAAATTGGGTACAATCAGCCTCCCTATAGAAGGTTTGAATCTCGGCCTCTCCCTGGTGAGATATGAACCATCTATGGCCGGCTTAAGTCTGAGGCAAGGAAAATGCACTGCTGCTAGGATGCAATGATGTCTCCCTAAACTTCTGTCTTGGAACATCAAAATGTGCTTTTAATCATCATGATGTATTGAATAAAGGTAGAGGGGACATCAAAGGCCCACTCTGCTCTACTGAACAATATTTTCACTGAAGATTCAACTAGAAAACAAGTGAATCCTTGGTGAATCTTGGGTGAAAAACATTAAAAAATAGACCCCAATATTTTTCTAGGTGTCAGATAATTTATTACATATTAGCTCATTTGCAAGAAAAGAAAAAATGTTTTAAATGGTATTATTGCAATTATTTTTTTTACAGCTCCATTGTTTTTCAAATAGACATGATTTATTTAAATGTCTTCAGCTTACTGAAAGAATAATCATTGTTTGATATTATGTCATAATGCCATACAGTATGATTAGTGTCAGGCACTAATTAGTAGAATTCTATGTTAGTCAATTCAAGTATTCCTTTTGGTGGTAGAAATGAAACCCGAATCTTTGTAATTATGTCAAAAAAAATTGATCATTCATTGATCATTCAGTTCTTACGATATATATATATATATATATATATATATATACATACATCCAGTATGTACAGAACATTACAGTGTTTAATGTAATGGCTGGGTAAATTGGGCATAGTGATTGTGATGAACTATGACAAAATTCTCCACCTGGCAACAGTGGTTTCCATAGAGATAATACTGTGGGCAGGAAAGTCTGTGACTCATTCCATTTTCTATGCTTGGATTCATCATCAGCAAAGAGAAATAATGTGCGTCTGGCCTAGGATTACCTTTCAGGTCTTTCTGCTATCTCTTTCACTGGCAGTTAGGAAAAATGAGCTGACTGCAGTCATCCTATTAAATTCAAATTTGTTTCAGAGCGGAGTGGATGTACTATTTGTTTTCCATCAAACACTGCAGGGATAACAAAGAACGAGAAGCCACCGGATTGTGTAAATGACATTAATGTCATGCAGAGTTTTGTTAGTAATCAATGGTAGGCTTAGCATGTTTGCAAACACATGGAAAACTACTGCTTTTAATGCCTTTATGTGTCTAGGTTTATCAATGGGCTATTCAATGGATATGCTATGCATTAAGAATATTTTCCCTCTTGGTTTTCATTTTGAACTGGTGGTCCCTCAATAGTTATCTCAATGGATATCTAAGAAGGGACCAGAATAAATCTTGAATTATGCTCAAAGCTGGTATTAAAATTACTTCAAAATACTTAAAGTGGTTCTAAATCCTAAACATTTTTTTTACCTTATTGCATTCCTTGCATTAAGGTAAAAATGTTTTGGCATCAGTTTTGGCCCCTCGCCCCCTTTTACTTACCTGAGCCCTCACTCGATCCAATGCTGTGCATGTCTGCAGCTCTTCTTTCCCCGCACTTCCATGTCTCACTGGCTTTGGGGGAGAACCAGGAGCCATTGGTTCCCAGTGCTATCAATTAAAGCCAGTGACGAGGGAGTGGGGAGTGGGGCCAAGTCAATGAGGCTCAGGAGCGAGCACGCACAAATGCACAGGGGACCCAATAAGAGGAGGTTGCACAGAGCAAGTAAGTATAAAGTTGTTTGTTATTTAAAGAAAAAAAAATTACAAACACTTTAAAGCAGTAAGTTGCTATAGGTGGTTCCACAGAATATGAGAGCATTTAACACCTAAAGTGGTTCTAAACTTAATGCATTCTCAGTGTTAAGGTAAAAAAAATCCCCACTTCTTGTCCAATTCACTCTCAATCCTAAACATTTACCTGACTCCTGTTACCACTCCAGTGCTGTTACGGCTACAGGAGGCACAAGCCATAGGCTCCTACTGCTGTGAGTCAAACTCCTTTGACGAGGGAGCGGGGACTTGTCTTATCAGTGCTGTGTGTGTCTATAGATGTACACAGCATGGTTGGGGCACAGGGGTGCCTCCTTAGCACCTGCCTTGCTAAGGATGCATCCAGAGGAGAGAAGAGTGGGCAAAGCCAGCAGGGGACAACCAAAGAGGAGGTAAGGACCTTTCTGTGTAATGTCATTGCACAGAGCAGGTAAGAATAAACTTAAAAAAAACAAAAACAAAAAACAACCTTTAACCAGTTCCCGTCTGGCCCATGTATATAAACGGCTGGAAGGGAGCATAGCAAGAGCAGGTGGCCGTTTATAAACATCCTCCCTGCTCCCCGCCTGTGCACGCTCCCTGGGAACACTGATCGCTGTATGGGACCTCTGTTGTGCGGTCCCAATCATGTGATCGCTGATTGGCCAATCAGTGATCACATGAATGGTAGTAAGCAAAATGTCACTATTGACATCATTGCTTACTACTAGTGAAATCTGTGAATGGTACAAGGCTATTCACAACAGACTTGTACCATATGACAAGCTGTGACCAATCACAACTCACAGTATTTTTCAATGGCTGCAAGAATGCAGCCAGAGAGAAGGAGAAATGATTGCTTTTACACACATTTAAATGCTGTAAAAGCAATCAGTGTAAAAAAAAAAAAAAAAACCTTCATCACCCCCCACAAGTAGTACAGTGTCACTGTGACACTGTACGGTTAAGTTGACAGTATGTAAAAAAAAAAAACAAATAGTAATATAAAAAAAAAAAAAAAATGTAAAACTTTTTTTTTTTAATTTTGATTTTTGCTTATAAACTAATTTGGGTTATTTTTTTTACTAAAAAGATAGATGAATATATTTTGGACAAGATTTATGAAGAAAGATTATTTAATTTGCAAAATGTTATAAGAAAAACACTTTTTATTTTAAAATGTTTGGACTTTTTCATTTATAAAGCAACAAAATAAAAATCCCAGTGGTGAATAAATACCACAAAAATAAAGTTTTATCTATCTCAAAAAATGCTAAAAAATTCATATGGGTACAGTGTTGCATGACCGCGCAATTGTCATTCAAAGTGTGATAGCGCTGAAAGCTTAAAATTGGCCTGGACAGGAAGGGGGTGAAAGTGTCCTGACTTGAAGTGGTTAATATCACTTTAAGAAAACAGAACATTTCATTTTTTTACTTTTTCTTAATATCTATTTTCTAGTTAGAAGAAAAGTCATCTTAAAAAAATATACATTTGACATATCAGTTCTCTGAAATAAAGAACTAACAGAAAACAGAATTTTAATGTAGGAGTTACACTCAGGTAGCTGGTATTTTCTAGTAAGATTACAAATACAATTGGCTTTGTTCAGGCTAGGCTCACTTGTCTGGTAGGACTTCAGTATCTTCAATACATTACCATTTCTGTATGTGTATGGCTGTCTGGGCCACATAGGACAGAGGGTTCATGAATGCACTTATGATGGTAAGACATACCATTATTAATAGGATTACATGAATTTGTATAGCATATAACATACTAACAAAAGAAGACCTTCAGCTTTGCTCTCACATCTGGTTTGACAGATGGTCACATGTAAGGAAACTGATTTTTTTCATATGCAGAATGATGCCTTTGTACTGTCCTCCATTTAGAAACCTTTAATGTTTTTAGATAAAATGTGACATTCATATTGTACTAACAAAATGAACATAAAACATTATTACCTGTTTAAAATGTGCTCTGTTTGTGCTCTAAAAATTATTTATTAAAAAAAAATGTCATAAAAAAAAAATCAGGAGATTTACAAAGAAAAAAACAATTTCCAGTATATTGACAATTTTAGCATCTAACTGCATAGTTTTGTTCAGTAAATAGACATACATCCTCTTTCCTGATCCAATCCACAGTTTGACTTTCAGCTAAAAAATGGACAATTTAGTGTTACTCTAGGGCAGTGGTTCTCAACCTTTCTAATGCCGCAACCCCTTAATACAGTTCCTCATGTTGTGGTGACCCCCAACCATAAAATTATTTTCGTTGCTACTTCATAACTGTAATTTTGCAGTGGGAGGAGTAGTGCCACGTCATTGGTGTCAGTGGGAGGAATAGTGTCCCATCACTGATGTCAATGGGAGGAATAGTGCCCCATCATTGGTATCAGTGGTAGGAATAGTGCCCCATCATTGGTGTCAGTGGTAGGAATAGTGCCCCATCATTGGTGTCAGTGGGGGGAATAGTGTCAGTGGTAGGAATAGTGCCCCATCATAGGTGTCAGTGGTAGGAATAGTGCCCCATCATTGGTGTCAGTGGGAGGAATAGTGCCCCATCATTGGTGTCAGTGGGAGGTAGTGCCCCATCATTGGTGTCAGTGGAGGAATAGTGCCCCATCATAGGTGCCCCATCATTGGTGTCAGGAATAGTGCCCCATCATTGGTGTCAGTGGGAGGAATAGTGCCCCATCACTGATGTCAATGGTGTCAGTGGGAGGAATAGTGCCCCATGGTAGGAATAGTGTCAGTTAGGAATAGTGCCCCATCATTGGTGTCAGTGGGAGGAATAGTGCCCCATCATTGGTGTCAGTGGTAGGAATAGTGCCCCATCAAGGTGTCAGTGGTAGGAATAGTGCCCCATCATTGGTGTCAGTGGGAGGAATAGTGCCCCATCATTGGTGTCAGTGGGAGGAACAGTGCCCCATCATTGGTGTCAGTGGGAGGAATAGTGCCCCATCACTGGTGTCAGTGGGAGGAATAGTGCCCCATCACTGGTGTCAGTCATAGTGGTGAGTGGGGAATAGTGCCCCATCATTGGTGTCAGTGGGAGGAATAGTGCCCCATCATTGGTGTCAGTGGGAGGTGTGCCCCATCATTGGTGTCAGTGGGAGGAATAGTGCCCCATCATTGGTGTCAGTGGGAGGAATAGTGCCCCAACACTGATGTCAGTGGGAGAATAGTGTCCCATCACTGATGTCAGTGGGAGGAAAAGTGTCCCATCACTGGTATCAGTGGGAGGAATAGTGCCCCAACACTGGTGTCAGTGGGAGGAATAGTGCCCCAACACTGGTGTCAGTGGGAGGAATAGTGCCCCATCATTGGTATCAGTGGGAGGAATAGTGCCCCATCGTTGGTGTCAGTGGGAGGAATAGTGCCCCATCGTTGGTATCAGGGGGAGCAATAGTGCCCCAACATTGGTGTCAGTGGGAGGAATAGTGCCCCATCGTTGGTATCAGTGGGAGGAATAGTGCCCCATCGTTGGTGTCAGTGGGAGGAATAGTGCCCCATCGTTGGTATCAGTGGGAGGAATAGTGCCCCATCGTTGGTGTCAGTGGGAGGAATAGTGCCCCATCATTGGTGTCAGTGGGGGGAATAGTGCCCCATCATTGGTGTCAGTGGGGGGGAATAGTGCCCAATCATTGGTGTCAGTGGTAGGAATAGTGCCCCATCATTGGTGTCAGTGGGAGGAATAGGTGTCCCCATCATAGGTGTCAGTGGGGGGAATAGTGCCCCATCATTGGTGTCAGTGGGGGGAGGAATAGTGCCCCATCATTGGTGTCAGTGGGAGGAATAGTGCCCCATCGTTGGTGTCAGTGGGGGTGCCCCATCAGTGTCAGTGGGAGGAATAGTGTCCCATCATTGATGTCAGTGGGAGGAAAAGTGTCCCATCACTGGTGTCAGTGGGAGGAATAGTGCCCCATCGTTGGTGTCAGTGGGAGGAATAGTGCCCCAATCACTGGTGTCAGTGGGAGGAATAGTGCCCCAACGTTGGTATCAGTGGGAGGAATAGTGCCCCAATCGTTGGTGTCAGTGGGAGGAATAGTGCCCCATCGTTGGTGTCAGGGGGAGCAATAGTGCCCCATCGTTGGTGTCAGTGGGAGGAATAGTACCCCATCGTTGGTGTCAGGGGAGGAATAGTGCCCCATCGTTGGTGTCAGTGGGGGGAATAGTGCCCCATCGTTGGTGTCAGTGGGGGGAATAGTGCCCCATCACTGGTGTCAGTGGGAGGAATAGTGTCCCATCGTTGTGTCAGTGGGGGGAATAGTGCCCCATCATTGGTGTCAGTGGGAGGAATTAGTGCCCCATCGTTGGTGTCAGTGAGTGTCAGTGTCAGTGGGAGGAATAGTGGGGGAATAGTGCCCCATCATTGGTGTCAGTGGGAGGAATAGTGCCCCATCGTTGGTGTCAGTGGGAGGAATAGTGCCCCATCGTTGGTGTCAGTGGGAGGAATAGTGCCCCATCATTGGTGTTGAATAGTGCCCCATCGTTGGTGTCAGGGGGGGAGGAATAGTGCCCCATCGTTGGTGTCAGTGGGGGGAGGAATAGTGCCCCATCGTTGGTGTCAGTGGGGGGAGGAATAGTGCCCCATCGTTGGTGTCAGTGGGGGGAGGAATAGTGCCCCATCGTTGGTGTCAGTGGGGGGAGGAATAGTGCCCCATCGTTGGTGTCAGTGGGGGGAGGAATAGTGCCCCATCGTTGGTGTCAGTGGGGGGAGGAATGCCCCAGTGCCCCATCGTTGGTGTCAGTGGGGGGAGGAATAGTGCCCCATCATTGGTATTAGTGACACCAATGATTGGGCACTATTCCTCCCACTGACACCAATGATACTTACCTTGCTGACCCCTGCTCCAGCCTGGGCTCGCTCGCTCCCTCCCTCTCCCATGGTACAGACACTTACCGGTCAGATGTCTTCCTTCTCCGGCCGCTCTCCTCCTCTTCACTCGCTCGATCTTCGCGGTGCCGCTCAGCTCCTCCTCTCCAAGCTCCACCTCCTCGCCGGTGATTGGCCGCCTGTGTGCCTCTCCTGAGCTACAGTTCCGGCGGCCAATCACCGGCGAGGATTGATCCTGGGGGTGTGTCCAGATGACAGGGACGGCATGTCATCCCGCCCACACCTGGAGACGGATAGAGGAGCGGTGTCTCGGTTCCTAAGGCCATCGGAAATATGTGTTTTCCGATGGTCTTAGGCGACCCCTGTGAAAGTGTCGTTCGACCCCCAAAGGGGTCGCGACCCACAGGTTGAGAACCGCTGCTCTAGGGGGAGACAAGTGCTGAAAAATCTGCAGAAGTGCCTTTTTTTGTTCACGGTTTTTCTACCTTTTTAGCCCTAGCCAATCACAGGAAAGAAAGGTGGTAACTGCTCATAAGTATAAAATTAGAGCCACACTATTCTTGCATTCACTATATACAGCAGCTATATCTAACTTTTGTTTCACAATAAAGAAAAATAAATAACAAAGTTATGTACACAACTGATTTTAAAAAATAATGTAATAATTATACAGTTAGGTCCATATATATTTGGACACAGGCACAATTTTAGTTCTTTTAAAGCTATTTACCAAAACATATGCAAGCTATAGTTATATAATGGATATGGGCTGAAAGTGCACACTCAGGTTTAATTTGAGGGTATGTACATCCAAATTGGAGGAAGAGTTTAGGATTACAGCTCTTAAGAGTAGTCGACTCCCCTTTTTCAAGGGACCAAAAGTAATTGGACAATTGAATCAAAAGCTGTTTCATGGCCAGGTGTGGGTTTGGAGTTGATTCTAAGTGTTGTATTTGCGTTCTGAATCTTTTGCTGTGAACCTACATCATGCATTCAAAGGAGCTGTCCTTGTAAGGCTTCAAAAACCAAACAAATTTATCAGAGAGATATAGCAGAAACATTAGGAGTGGCCAAATCAACAGTTTGGTACATTCTGAAGAAAGAAGAATGCACTGGTGAGTTTAGCAACATAAAAAAAAAGGCATGGATGTCCATGGAAGTCAACAGTGGTGGATGATCGCAGGATTCTCTCTCTGGTAAGGAAAAACCCATTCACAAAATCCAGACAAGTGAAGGACACTCTCCAGGAGGTGGGTGTATCATTGTCAAAGTCTACAATCAAGAGAAGACTTCAAGAGAGGAGATACAGAGGGTTCACCACAAGGTGCAAACCATTCATAAGCCTGAAGAATAGAAAAGCAAGATTAGACTTTGCCACAAAACATCTAAAAAAGCCAGTCCCAGTGGCACTGGTGTTTATTTGATGATGTGACAGAAGACAGAAGTGTCGGATGAATTCTGCAGTGTTTAGAGATATACTGTCAGCCCAGATGATCAGACAGCACTTCACAGTACAGATTCACAGACTGTGCCTTGTATGTGCTTCCAAACACATGTCAAATGCTCACCACGCTTGCTGTCCTGCCTGCTGTTGCCCAGAGCAATGGCTCATTAGTCCATAGGTGTCCCTCTGCTGCTCTTTAGGTGGCTACCAACAGAGACTATGTGACTGCATGGGACAGAGAAATGCCTATGTTTTTGTGCTTGCAGTCGCCTAGAGCAACTGGGACAGTTCCTTGCTGCATATCACTCTGTGCACTGCTCATCAGGTGACGCTAACAAATAACTGTGCTTTAACTGTGGTCTTCATGTCTACCATGATCAAAGTCTGCTAATTGTTCATGATCGCTATCACCCGGAGAAACTGGGAAGTCCTGACAAAAATGGATTACAAATGCTTGATTGTTTTGTGCTGATTGAATTCAGTGACTATAATGGTGACCTTGCACTCAGCGGAGGGTGTGCTTCTGCCCCGCTGTTGCCCGTGGCAACCACTGTGGAGCAGCATCGTCCCCAATGTTCACGTTGCCAGTGATACCCAGCTGTTCAATGATGGCTGGAAACCAATGATCAGCACCAGCCAGCAAACTGTCAATGCCTGCCAGCAGGATACAGCCATCACCGTCTCTGCAGTCCAGTGCATGCAGTTCAAGTTAGAGCATCGGGAAGTTAATCCTATGGTGGGAAAGTTCCTGTACAGCAGGCTGGCGCCAAGAGGTCATGAGAAGGGACGTGGCCACAACCACCAGAAAACCCAAGGTCATGCCTAGATGCCTGCCCTAAAAAACGCCCTCTACACCCACCATGTGGAGGGAGAGAGCATGAGTAGAGACAGATGGTATACTCAAAAGTTTGCAAACCTGAACTTGCTCTGGTGGACACGGGACTCCGCATTGATAATCGTGGCTGTTTTGCTCTAGGGATGCGTGAGGGCACTGAGAAGTTATGTCTAGTCTGCCCAGAATGCAAGAGGCCGACCGCACTGATCAGGGCTTGGGACAGGTGCGGACACTGTGGAGAGACTTAGAACAAACTACTGCCCAGTGATCTGGTGCCCTGTAACTACAGTGTAGACCTGCAAATGGAGAAACCGGAAAGCAGGAGTCGGAATGCCAATGGATATTCGGAGCTTGCTATGCAGAGCGGGGTCAAGTCCCGGGACCGCGACTCCCCTGCCACCTTCACTGACCATCACAGTGGAGAAGGGCTGCACACCCCTACTCCCTGCCTGCCAGAAGATGCCGGAGGGCTGGTGCCAACAGGTACTGTTCAGCAGGAATCAGTCAGTGCCTCGAATCGGCCAGCCTCGGTTACCTGCCCTGACCTCTCTAAGGGGAAGAAGTCTAGCTGTGAGGATGACCAGTCCTCAGGTGAGCTGGTGGAGAGTGTTAGTGGCAGGGAGATAGATTGGAGTTGCCCAGCCTACTATAGAGGTTCAGACCCCTGGAGACTGAACAGGAAGGATGGACCTCATAGGAAACAGAGGAGGAATGGGACTGGGGGAGGGGTACCACAGAAGAGCTGGATTCACTGATGGGACCCTCAGAACCCCCTTACACACCAGAGTCTGCTGGACAATCCAGTAGGTCCGAACCTGTCAGGATTCCTTATCAATCCCACCATCCAAATTCTTTGCCTCACCCTGGCCTAGGACCAGGGCCAGAGATAC